AGAACGCCACTCGCCGAGAGTCGTCGAATGCGTCACAGACGCAGTCAACCGTGAAGCGAACGGAGTCACAAGTTGCGAGGAAGACTGCTGTGCGGAAGGAGGAGTCTATATCATCGTCGTCGAAGAGGTCACAGCCAAAGAAGGCGAAGGAACAGTCTGATCCTCCTCCGGACGACCCAGATGACTCGGAGCCCAGCGACAGCAACAACGATGCGAATCGAGGAGGAGATTCCGACTCTGGTGACGCTGAAGGCTTTTCAAGCGAGGATCATCGGAATGACTACGACGACAACCACAGCTGATGGAACAACAATTTGGAATTGTAGACCTTACATTGGCTACACCAACCTGGAGAAGTTCGATGAGAAGGCATCCAGGGATAATCGGGTCAACTGGTGGGAACGATTCTCGGATATGGCATCGCAGGGATCCTGGTCAGACACAATGAAGATTCGTCAGTTCAGGAGCCGGATGCCCACAGCAAGCAAAGACTGGTTCACGCAGTTATCTAAATCTATGCGTCACGATTGGAAACAAATGTCGAGCAGATTCAGGAAGCTGTAATTCGGTACCACGGGCTCGTACTCGGAAAGGTACTTCACGATGAAGACGGCCGACCACGAGACCTCATTGCAGTTCTTCTGGCGTCTTAATGCGGCTGCGGTCAAGGCCGAAGTTAAGTTCAAGTCGAGCTCTATGAGTCTCATATTCGAAGATTCATTAAGAAGCTCCGAAACAATCAGTTGAAGACAGCCCTTGAAGGCCACAGGTTTCAGAGCATCGCGGACCTGGTACGAGCACTACGTCACCTCGAAGATGTGTGGCGTGAAGAAGGATATGACTCTCCAGCTCCTAAGAAGCCCAGAGATTTCCGTGCCGACAACGTCCACCAAGGCCGGTCTCAGAATCGTGGACCGACTAGACGTCAGGGACGTGCCTTCATGACTCAAGGCGATGCTGAACCAACGCAGGACTCAGAGTTCCAACACGAGTCTCAGGGTCCTGAAGTGTTCGCAGACCAAGCAGAGGCGCACTCGAAGCCGATCTCAGAGTTCCCCCATAGTGGAGTTGGCGGAGAAGTGTTTCGAGTCGCAGAGAACCAACACTGGAAGTCACCCAACCCACATCCGGGTCAAGGTGCAGCACGACCAGAAAATTGTGACGTCTTTTGTGAAAAATGCAGGAAGTGGGGACACCCCAAAGTCAACTGTTGGACTGGAATGATATGTGAACGATGTCAAGGCAAGAGACACCCGGCCAGAGTCTGCACCAGAACCCCTTGTGCAGAAAGTGGAGGTTTTTACGGTGGAATATCGTGTAAATAGTGGAATGCTTTTCAGTCAGTGATGACATTGGCGAAGCAAGGAAATGCAAGTGAATTACCAACTCAATTTGGAAGTCTCCTTCAAACCAAGGATCACGCTTCAGGGGCGCAGCAGTTAAATCAATAAGCCCGCCGGATGGGGATCCGGTACGCGACTGGCCTAAGCACCCCCTGAAATGTGTGCCTTAGTCTGTATAGGACCTGTACTCAGAGTATCTCCAGCGTTCAGATGGCCCGATCCCAGAGATCTCTGAGCCCGAATCTCAGGATCCCTTGGAAGTGCCGTTGAAACCGGGTCAAAGGTCCGGATGGTGGAAAAATCACGAACATGGAAACATGCATGGGTTGGCGACGATACATGGATCTGTGAACGACTCCAGAACCAGAATCTTATTGGACACTGGTGCGTCCGTGGGCATTATGAGTCTTGATCTAGCGCGTAGACCCAAACTCAAGCTCCGGACACACCGTCAAATCAAGGTCTCTGGTTTGGGAGGAGTGACCACTTACATTACTACTCATGCCCGAGTGAAGATTACGCTCAGATGGAGTGTAGTGTACGTCCTGAATATCTGGGTTGGAAACATTGGAGAAGGTGTGGATGTTCGGCTAGGCGTGAACTTTATGCATTCGGCAGGTGTCCGACTCTGCATACGAGAAGGCTTAGTCAAGCTGCCAGACGAAGAGACTGTGGTGATGTATGATAATAATCCCAAGTCCCGTGGTATGTAACTTCCTGTGTGTCCAGAAGAGAGCATACACCTGCGTCCTGGTCAGGATGCTATTGTACGAATTTGGTATGGCCAGCCCAACCCTCAACGTGAGTTGGTGTGGGCAGGGAGAGGAAAAAAACTGGGTGACCAAGGTTCTGTATTCTGCTAGATCCTGGGCAACTGCCGTCAAGGTTGTTAATGTTTCAGATCTGCGGTTGCGCGTATTGTGGAGTACGGACAGTTCCCAGGACAGCCTGGATTCGTTCGCCCTGGTAAAGCGCGGTATGAAGAATGGCAACAATTGATCCATGAGTGTACCATGTCACGTCAAGCAAGGATGCATGCTGAACGGTTGAAGCATATTGACAGGGAGAGGGAGCCTCCGTGTACCCAGACCCAGAGTTATCAGTGGCCTACCAAGCTATTAATGCGTCCACGGTCCCAAGCCGCTGAAGTGAATATGATGGGGTTGCAAGAAAAGCCTAAACCATTGGACATGACGCTCAAGGCCTTGGGAATTCAGCGGTCGTCATGAACACGGCCGCGGGAGATCCCGAGGAATCTGCAACCCGTCCTGAGCCGGTAGAACAAGCCCATCCAGACCTGAGTCTAGACGTTGAGACTCAGGATCCAGAGGGTATGATGGATGTCGAGAGTAATGTTGAGGACCCTGAATCGTCAGTGGACGTCCAGTCACAGACGAGCTGTTCGACGCCGGTCCAAAGGCTGGAGGCAGAATATGCTCGGGTAATGCGAGTCTCTGCCGAAGAACTGGATCTACAGCCCGCTGTGTATCTCAGGGAAGGAAGTGATTTGATGGCGCAGTTAAGAGACCAACTTATCAGGCTCCCAGAAATTGAGGAACTGACCCCAGAATGTAACATCGACGAAGCTAATGTCGGAGTTCCAGGGGTCAGAACTCCAGAGATGGAAGCTAAGATGAGAGGGATCCTGAAACGCCATCGCGGCATCTCCCTGGGAAATGGCAACGCAGCTCCAGCCCCGGCTAGGGGCGTAGTGTGTGCTACCGACGTTGGGGAAGCAAAACCAGTGGCTTTATGTGCGAGACAGATTGCCGCACCTTTCTTTGTGAAAGTGTTTGAACTCCTGAAGAAGTTGCTGGAGGCAGAGCTCATTGAGCATTCAGAATCCGTGTGGTCATCACCTATTGTGATTGTGCTGAAGAAGAACGGCATAGACATCCGAATATGTATTGACTACCGACTTCTGAATCTGCTCATAAAGCTATCTCGCATTCAATGACATGCTAGTAGACTTCAAGTCTGCAATGTGGTTTATGAGTCTCGACATGGCGAGTAGATTCTGGGCGGTGCGAATGACTGAGCGGGCGAAGCTGATCTCTGCATTTGTCTGCCCGTTCGTCAATTTTCAATGGCTCTGAATGCCCTTTGGATTGAAGAATGCACCGTTAATTTATGAGAGCATCATCAATAACTGTCTGTGGGGATTCGTCTGTCTGCCTCCTGAAGAGGAAGCATTGGTCGACCCAGAAGTTCTTAAGTTCCTGGATCTTGAGCCGCAGGAAGACCTGAAACCTGAGGTAGATATGCAGGATTCAGAGATCACGGCATTGGATATGACTGTAGTTCCGGCTCCGTCACAAATGGGCCCGGCCTTAGGAAGAAGCTCGTACATTGACGATATCGCCCATGGGGCGTCGACCTGGGACCAACTATGTGAAGACCTGGATGCGTTGTTATACAGACTACGGTACTGGAATATCTCTGTGAGCTTACCGAAAAGTGAATTTGGGACGTTGACCATCCCATTCCTCTCTCATGAAGTGAGCGCGGACGGAATCAGAGCCTTGCCAAAGATTCTCAAAGGCATAGAGGATTTACCTTTCCTGTCGACGTACAAGGGAATGCAGTCCTTCTTAGGAAGTCTGAACTACTACAATAAGTTTATTGAAGACTTACCAGTAGTTGCCGCTGTGCTCTACGAACTAGACGAGGAACGTGTATGACTGGACGGGATCTGGAAGCCGCAAAGGAGTTTTTCGAGATACTGAAACGTAAGATCGTGTCGACCCCGTTGCTGCGACATCCAGACAGAGCCAAGCTCTTTGTGATAATTCCGCATGCTAACCCGTGGGCGGCGTGTGCAGTTCTGGGTCAGGAGCATGAAGGACTCATACACCCCGTGCGATTTACGAGCAGAGTGTTGAAGGAATCAGAGCTACGTTATCACATAGCTGAGAAGGAAGTGCTCGCAATCTTGCGGACTCTAGAGATTTTCAGACCTCTGATCCATGGATCAGAATTCCCCGTTGTGGTGTATACGCGCTACTCTGTAATAAAGTGGTTACTACAATCCAGCTACGCAGATGGATGACATCTGAAGTCGGACCTGGAACTATCAAGATGGACACTGGAAATCCATCGGACTCAGAAAGACGAGGACGGCCTCGCAGCCATCCTCGGGTTTGGTATTACCCCCAGGAAACATTTAGATGAAGTTGCAGAAACGCTGATTCCCACCAAGGGGCGTTTGAAAGTGATGCCACCAGTGAGTCTGGAAATGTTGGAATCAGACTACAAAGGCTACGTTCTGAGCTTTGATGGTGCTGCGAAGGTTTTCACTCGCCGAGGATGTGGTCGATACATACTGTGGAAGCTGCCATGATGGCAGGTTGTGAAAGCTGAGGGACACGTCCTTGAAGGCGTAACGGTCAATGATGCCGAATACCACGGTCTGATTCTGGGACTGAAGCTCGCTATGAAATATGATGTCAAGGAGCTTGTGGCAGTCAGTGATTAATCAACCCAACCTGCAACGACGCTTAGCTGAGTACGAGGATCTCAGGAAGGATTTTACGTCTGTGAAGTTGATTCATGTTAAACGTGAGTTTAACCAAGCGGCCGACTACCCAACCTCTAAGACTCTCGTGCTTGGAGAATCCTGGGAGCTTGATGACCCCGACGAGATAGTGCACCTACGCCTCCTCTCTAGAATTCCTGAAAAGATCATGAAGCCTTCGGAAATCCCAGGTATCCCTGTGACCGATGCGGTTGACTCGGATGAAGTCAAACTCGAAGTGGATAGTCCTGATGCTGGAATACCAGAGTCTCTAGCTACCGCGGCTGAAGCATTGATGGTGATGACGAGGTCACGTACGGAACCGGACGCAGGTTTTCGGACTCGTGTAGACCAGTCCGGATACCAGGATGAACGTTGGAGGAGAATTAAGGTTCACCAAGACGAAGACTTTTGGATTCAGCAAATGAAGAAGTTCCTAAAAGGAGACGTGTCAGATCTTCCACGGAACTAGGTCAAGAAGATTGCGAAGGTCTCCGATCAGTTTGAGCTGGATTCGCGAGAAGTCCTCTATAGGCCGAGTACACCCACTCCTGAGAGACCTCGCAACAAATAGGCTGAACTCAGGCTGGTAGTCCCAGAAACTTTACGTGCCGACATATTACATTACTCGCACGAAGACTTTCAAGGCGGCCATCAAGGAATGAACAGGAACTTTGAGCGATTACGTTCAGAGTTCTACTGGATCGGGATGTACGCTGATGTACAGAAGTTCGTGAGAGAATGCGTAGATTGCGCGTCAGCCAAGAGGCGACCACCGGTTCTCGGTCCGTTACCTGGCAATATCGAACCGAGATATCCGTTCGAGGTGGTCTTTATGGATTTTGTCACTGAACTACCCGAGTCCGATCGTGGAAATACCTACTTGTTGTTGTTCCAAGATCAGTTCTCAGGATACGTCATGTGCAAACCCATGCGGAATACCGAAGCCCAATATGTTGCTGAAGCATACGAAGAGTGCGTATTCAGAAAATTTGGGGCGAGTTCAATGATCAGACATGATCAGGACCCCCGTTTCATGAGTAAAGGCTTCGCTAGATTCAGGGATCGTCTGAAACGTAAGCAATGTGCGACGCTAGGGTACCGGCCTCAGGCCCATGGACAGCAAGAACGCTCAGTCCAAACGGTAATACGGAGTGTCAGAGCGTATGTTCATGAAGTTGATCAGGGTGACTAGGACGAACATGCAGAACGTCTCATGTTCGCTTTGAATACCTCGTTCG